CCCACAACGTTGGTTAACCACGTCACAAATGGTAATTTTAAAATCATTATCAAAATGTCTAAGTTATTTGTTTATTAAACTTGCCACCTTCGAAAAAACGTAGGCAGTCGTCCGATGCTTGCATTATCTTTTCCCACAAATGGTAATTCTAATTCATAGCCAATTTGTCTTTTTTTTTTTTTTTTTTTTTTTTTTTTTTTTTTTTTATTAATTTTTTTTTTTTTTTTTTTTTTTTTTTTTTTTTTTTTTTACGTTATGAAAATATTTTTAGTTAGTCATGTATATTTACATGTTTTTTGTATTCTTTTATAATAATAATTTTTTTTTTTCATCATCAAACTTGTCACCTCGAAAGAACGTAGGTGAGCGTCCGAGGTGTGCCTTCCCTCTTCCACAAATGGTAATTCCAAATTTCAGAATCAATTTGTGTAATATTTTTTTTTTTTTGTAAAAAAATATATTTATTTTATTTCTACATGCATATTTAGATGTTATTTTTTTTATAGTAATTATTCAATGTTTTGCAGTTTCATCATTAAACTTGTCACCTAAAGCGAATGTAGGCAGAAGTCCAAGGTACATAGACCCTTCACCCTCAATTGTCGGGGGTGCATTATCTCCCGAATCATTGCACTCATCCATCAGCGCCTTACCTCCCCACAAATGATAATTCCAAATTCATAATCAATTTGTGTAATTCATATTTTTGTAAACAAATTACTAAAATATTTTATTTCTTCATGTATATTTAGATGTTATTTTTTTATACTAATAATAATAATAATTCAATGAGTACGATGAATTGATGCGCTTCTCGGAGTGGCTTACGAGGATTGGCGATGGTACAATGGGTGGATTGAACGACGGTTGTGTCGATATCGACATCCCCAAAAATATTCTTCTACACTCACAAGGAGATCCTATTGCTACTATTGTTGAGAGTTCAGGTGACAATTTTAGCTATCTGAAGGATATATCCACACTCGCTCCCACAATTGATGTCGTTTAGTCCGTTAACGAGTAAATGAGCTCATTGAATTTATCCGAGGGAAGGACTTATTTGAGTTTGGACACTCCTTGCAAGTCAGACACTGGATATAACTCTCTTCAGGATCTTCATACTCCTAAATTTCTCAATGGGATTAAGTGCTCAGAATTTTCGAATCATAATTTGCACTTGAAGGTATGCATTCCAGTGATGCTGCTTAGATACATTGATCACTCCATGGGGTTGTGCAACGGCATTGTTGATCAAATTCGACCTATCATCTATATTATCTTTGATTTTGTACAAATTCGAGTGATACATTTTTGTAGTCCGAATTTTGTGATCAACAGGTACACGATTGATTATCATTAAGCTCAACAACCATGTTCTCGAATGTAGGATTTTAACCGGTGCCGAAGCTAGTGATAAGGTTCTTATTCATGGGCTCACAATCATACCATCCGATTTGACGGTACCTTTCACGTTTCAGCGCAGACAGTTCCCGATCACCGTTTTCTATGCCATGACAATCAATAAGAGTCAACGGCAGTCTCTGTCGCACGGCGGCCTACTACTGAAGAGTTGTGTATTTAGTCATGAGCAATTGTACGTAACGCTTTCTAGAGTTATTAGTCGAAAGGATTTGAAGATAATGATTTGTAATGATGGAGATTCTGACGATACGAAAACCACGAACATAAGTGTACAATAATATTTATATTTTATTTCTTATAACTATTTTTTTCAATGATTATGTTATGATTTTTACTATTATTTATATTTTTTTATTCTTTTTTCCTCTGTCATATTACTTTCCGTGCAAATGCACGGTTTAAAACTAGTTAGAGCAGGCCCAGTGCTGCTCTATCTCTCCAGAGATGCGCTATTATAGCGCAAAATAAGCCTCTAGTGTTGCGCTAAACACCTGCGCTATTTTAGAGAAAGCTACAGTGTTGCACCACATCTGGCACAACAGAGAAAGCTACAGTGTTGCACCACATCTGGCACAACACTGTAGCAGCTCTACTTTTTTTTTTTTTTTTTT